AAAACATTCCAGGTCAGGTGGAACAGGGCTTTAAGCAACCTGATATTTTTGAAGATATCCCTGCTTGTTGCAAGGGGTTGAACTAGATGACCTTTAAAGATCACTTCCAACTCAAACTACTCTAGGATTCTGTGGAGTTCAAATCAGTATGAGATGTGGTAAGATTTTGTTTATATCTCTCAATCTACATGTTGTGGTGTGAAAATTTTATTTAAGGAGAATTTGAGTAATTTTTTTTCTTTTTTAAATTGAGGATGCTATCTTGTAGGTACAGGAAAAAGCAGGAAGAAAACTAGGAAAAATCACTTTTGAAGAAAAAAGAACAGTGTGTACATTTCCGATTGTAGAGAGGAGAGGAGAGGAAGGCAGAGAGAGAGGGAGAAGAAATGCAAACTTCCAAAACCTTCCACCCACCCAAACAGCCCAATATGTATCTCACACCCTGACACCTTTTCTGAGGGATGCACAGTCAACCCAACCGACTCCTTCCAGGAATTACTTGAACCCACATTTTCTGCCCTTGAGGCCAGTACACTAAATGTTATGTAAAGAGCGGAAATCTAAAAACAAGTAATTACAATTATACTCAATGTCCTTGAACTCAGTATTATCCAAAGACAAAGCTCACTTAGAGAACATGTCAGCTTTAGGGTCCTTGTCAGATTTAGCTGGAAAATTATCAAGGAGCTAAGGCAGCACACTGGGTCAGTCTTGGATACATGGAAAATTACAGGTGTAGGCTTTTAGGGAACCACGGAGCTGGCCTAAAAGCTGCCTTGGACATGCTGGACCCTCCATTTGATTTTGCAACATTGAGGCCCTCACAAGAATTTTTCAGCTTTATATGGCTGATGTCATCTGAACATCCTTAGGCCTCTATAGTAGGACGTGACAGCTTAAGAAAAACTGCCAGCTGTGTATGTATTTTCCATTAATCTCTGAATTTTTTAATCTCCAAATTACTTTAAAGACTTAGCAGGAAAAAATTGGTTAAACCACTGGCATTCCTCCCTCTTGTAAGGAAAAAATCCTTGAGATTTTTTGTCTTGTGTTCAGTGGAAGCTAATGGGTATTCAGACCCACTTACCTCATGTCAGCAGCAGTTCTGAGACGTGTCTAGCATTGTGCCAAGAATGTGCTTAGCCATTGTAACCCTTTCAGGACTTTTTTTTGTGAGATTAGGCAGATCTCTTAATTTCTCCTTATTTCACCTCTGAGAGCACATATGGTGTCAGATCTGGGGGAAAGACCATTATTCCTGGGCAGAGAAAAGAGACTGGAAAAGGGTTCTAAAATCTCACTGGCTATGAGTAAAGCATTTACCAAAGGAGTTTTCAGCAACTATACATTCCTTGAGCTCATAGATAACCTAACAGTTGATTTAAAATTAACTCAGAAGGAATTTATTTAGATGATGAAGTCTTAGCCTATGACTATAGCATTCTCAAGAGTAAAAGCTAGCATTCACTGTAAAAATCACACTAATGCCCTTCTTTAAATGAAACATTAATATATTTCAGCATGTCATTTTCAACTTGGCTTCAAGAAAACTGGCCTTCACTGTAATCATCCTACTGGTTTAAATTACTTTACTAATGGAGACTTTTGTACACTGATGAATGGCAGTGAGTATCAATTTTTCTAGGAGTCACTGACAATATTCAATGTGAATTAAGCTTTTGGAAGAATATTTCCTGAAAGTGTAAAGTCTACTGATTCTTGTACTTTTCAATTACCAGCACCTTTCCCTTGTCTAGTTTTTCTATTCTCTGTGTCTGAGGGCTGTCCAAAAATGGGGCATGTTCACACCAACTTTTATATTCATGTTCTACTTGTAAGAGGTGAAATATTTAAAATAGTTTAAAGCAGATATAAACTCTACTGCTAAAGCAAACATTGTGACCACTGGTTACAGGCACAGTTACTGCCTTAGTGCATACACTTATGTGGGTGCTCCCACCAGGCAGTCCCAAATGCCTCACTTGGAAGCTTCACATTGCAAAAAGATGTGGCATTTGATACACATTTCTTGAATGAGTAATTCTTGATCATTTCTTGAATGAGTAATTTCTGACTTATGTATGATCATACTCACGTACCCACAGAGAATCCCACTCAGATATTTATTCCTCTTGTTCTACTGAGTCCCTGGATCATCCCTGCCTGGGAAACATACATGTAGCTTGTGGGTGCAAAGCACTGAAGAATATGCATGGAATAGCTCAAATCTTGAAGGGAAAATATAGGTTTTCTAAAAAGTGATGGTTTTTTTTACAATTTCACAATATCAGAAACTATACCATAGACTTAAACTTCAGCAGATATTGTGGGCGATTGGGAAGAAAACTGTTTTCTGTCTTCATATTATGATCTTCTGAGTAAAAGAATCCTTTCTATGATTCAGCTGGGTAGTGACAGAGATTTCCATCTTCAGAAACACTCTTGCCTCTCCATACTAAAACAACACGTTGTAATAACCACAAATAATTCAATGTACATGGCTGATTCAGTTCATGTGGGTCTTGGTACCCTGTGATGCTGTAACAACACAGGTTGCACAAACTCTTCCAAATTATAGGCCAGACCCTGGCACTATGGTTTAAAATGTATTTATTCTTTAGGAGCATAATAGTTAAAAACAAGCAGGAACTGAGTTACAGGTGAGTAAGCCAATGAATTTACAGATGTTTCATAGATTGTCAAGAGGTAATGATTTGTCAATCTTTCTGTCTCTCACTTGAAATATTACAATAGTTAGTTAGCAACGAGTGCCGTCAGGAGAGTATTTTTAAGGAAGTATTACTGTAGTTTGACTGTATTATAGATAGGGAAGCTAGCTCTGTACTTCAGTGTACACTAAATTCAAATGCAATAAGCTAAAATCCAAAGCAGCTTAGTGGGTATTAGGGAATGACCAGAGGATGGGTTGCCAGTAAAATAAAGGCAACCATATAGCCTGACTATGTAAACTGGAGAATTTTTCAAGTCTTCTAACACAGAAGACAGAAGAGAAATGGTGAGAGACAAAATAACCCCATCATTTCTAGATGGGCACAGTCTCAGTGCAGTCAGAGTTTTATGTGATCTTGTTGAGTACTTTTGAGTAATTTTCTCAGATGAAGCTCCACTTTTTTTACCATTACTCTTTAAATTCTGACTACATCTCTCCCAGTATTTATTTCATAGCTGAGGCAATCTGCATGATTGTATAATTTGATATTTCAGGAACTACGAAACAATTGTAATGTCTACCCTGACAGCCAAAGCCTGTCCTTATGCTGAAAGAAATTAGGATTTTTCTAAACCATCTTTTTCAAACCATCTTCACCAAAGTCATCCAAAACATTTTTCAAAGATGTAGCAGAAAATAATACACTCATAAAAAAACCTCATATCTTCATACTTTAAAGCAGATTATAGATGATGACTAGAACATTAGCAGTGTTGAAAGTATTAGGCAAAGGGTTTTTATAGAAATAACAAAGTTTGACATATGTGTGCTTTGACACAAATGTAATGTACCAACAGAATATAGGCAGATATAAGTTGAGATAATTTACAACAAATGTTAACCCATGTATAGATGAAGCATTATCCAGAATACCAATCCACTTGCCTAGCATGTGCATTGAGTCTGCATTGATTCACAGTCACACTCAAACCCTGTAGATTTTTCAAGTAATCATTGACTCATTGGCTCATTATTAGATAGTGATTGCACTATCTCATTTATTAGTTCCAACTGCTGCGTTCAGCACTGTCAGTTCTATTTGGATCTTACCTACAACAGAGCACCACGACATTTTCTGAATGACTTAGAGGGAAAAATATTTTCTCAGATTGCCAGAATGTTTTCCTTTATACTGATGACTATTTGAAATGACATTTTAATGTGAACTTTTTGCATCTCAAACCCAAATAATCAATAAAGGGAAAAACCATATAGAGTATTACTGAGATGAAGAGCTAAATGAACACTTTAGATTATTAAAATTGCTCTTTATAGTTTTAGATTTATATATAAATATATATTTAGGTCTGACATTAAAAAACACACTCTGAGCTGAGCTGCAGCCATAGCATCCTGCTGTTTCCCTCACAGTCTACACACTGGCCTCAGGAGAAAGGACAGTTGTCAGGGCTGTCCCAGCAAGGCTGCAGCTGCCTGGGCTGTGCTCGTGTCTCCAGCTGTTGAGACACCAGCACTGAACCCTGTGCATGGTGAGTCTGTGTGTGCCCTCCAGTTCCCTGTGCCTTCTGTGTGTGCTCTCAGCCATGCCAGATTTAGGGCTGGTGCCTGGCTGAGAGCAACAGTCCAGCCAGGGCAACACGAAGCTTGGGACAGCTGTCATGGCAGTGTGGTCAGGGGAGGTAAGTTATTCATGCAGAGGTGTTAGAATGCAGTGAGATATGTTTTGTCACATTCTTAGAATGCATTTTCTAATCTTCCTACCATGATTTATATTTTCTGATGTAAGTAAGTTGTAAAGAGCAAAAGCAGGGGAACAATGAGTGTCTGTGAAGAAAAAAAATTAGAATGAGAAACACCCTCTGAAAAGTAACTTGGGGTGAAGATTTGTGACTCAGCTATTGTATACATTGAGGAAGATACATTCCTATACTAGTTTGAGTGGGACATAAGAAATTATGCCTGACTTTTGTCACAAGACTATCCTATGCTCATAAAATATTATTTTTCATGTATGAAAATGAAATCCTTACATGGTTGTATAACATAGCTCAGACAGACAGGCTAACATAGTCCTAAGAAACATCCATGGCTGTCAGAAGGATGAGGGACAGCCTTCCCATTTATGGAGCCACATCCAGCTGTGCTACAGCTAAGTAAATATTAGTTTCTCATGCTGTATTTTAAGCATTGTCTGTGACTCAGTTTTAACAGTATTGGTCTTCTCTGCAGCACAGCATGGCTTCAAATCTCTTATTGCACAGGACGCCAGACAATTGAACACGATAGAAAATATTATAATAGAAGTTACCTCATTTTGCCTTTCCATGGTCCATCTGTCCAGCACCTGGTTGGGGTAGTCAGGAGTTGTCTTTGGCATGAACACCACGTGTTCCTTACTGAACTAAAATTTCTGGAAACAAAACATAAATGCTTACATTATTAGAGAGATCCTCTTACTCATATAGTCTTTCATCTCCAAAATTTTACAACCATTCTCTTTTGATTCAGCAGCCATCTTCCAACTACTAACAGGATTGATAAAACCATTTGCAGTTGGAACAAAACCACAAATTTTTACTTTCCTTGAAAAAATATGAAAATTAGGCAGTTACTTTTCAGTGATGTTAAAATTTGATAAATTGACCTTTCAATGTACACTTGAACACCAAATACCTGGCAAAGAGTAGGAAATGAGATAACTAAGCTCTTTCTCTAAGCACCTTGAGTGTTTATGTATTTCATTTCCTACAGAAAACTTTAGTCATTGAGCTAGAGAACATTCAGAAATCTGTTCTTCATCTCCTCTCATGCTTTTCAAGGAATAAACAGATTCTAAGCCTGAAAGGTGCGAATTCACCTGAGAAGGTAAAGCTGGATTCAAATTTCTCCTTCAGAAAACCATTAAATTTACAATATTAACTTGGGAACTGAAATGAGGGTTTCCAACACTCAAGTGCATTCCCTGATTAGCAGATTAAAAAGTCTGGTCCCATGAATCTTTAGTTATTCATATGTAAATAAAAGCAGTTTGGGAAATAGAGACTTTGCCCATGTCTCATCCCAATCACACCAAAGTGTTGATACTTAAGTAAATTATAGAAATTATGGCTACAGACTTAATGGCTACAGACATGTGAGACATACAGAAATTATGGCTACAGACATGTGAGACATTTAAATATAGTCTAATCTTCCTAGGCTAGTATGAATTTTGGGGAAAAACACGTGAACAGGTAATCCTTCCTGGACTGCTCTGTGAGAAACAAACAACCTGATGTCAACTGTCCTACCTAAGTTTAAAGGACATTCATAGCACATGGGTTTTTCTACACCTTCCTTATTTAAAGGAGGGGATATTTTCAGAGCTTACTGCTTGGCTTTAAGGTTATTAGTAATGACCATACTAGTGCCCAGAAAAATGGACTTCAAGGAATATTAAAAAAAAAAAAAAGCAAGAGTGTTGTTTGGTAGTAGCTTCACTTCTTTTTCCCTCAGAGATTCCTAAGTAGTAAAATTAGAATACTAATTTTTATTAAAAACTTTTAATGCTTTTGTAACATTGAAAGAAGATTCCATAATTTCTCTGTTTTTCTTTTATAGTGCTTCAACAATTCAAATCATCTGCCAAGATATTAATTTTACTGCAGGAAAATAGTGCATAGCTTTATTTCTGGTCACTTTGGCTTTTTTCAGAGTATCTTTTCTACAGATCTTAATAGCTTATGACCAACAATTGAATCATAAAATCAATTTTAGGTGGCTGGGCAGATGGTAAATGGATCTTTCACAAATGTTAGAGTCCTTAATGAATAAAATAAGCACATAAATACACATAATTTTTGATGTTATTTCATATTGCATTAGACTTTGCAGAATATTAATGATTTTTAAAGCACATTCAATTTTCAAAAAAGTAGGGAATCACTACAAGTGCATTGAATAGGAAACAATAATGTAATAGCTATGTGGTCACAATTTGCAAAGGCAGTCATATTTCATAATTTGGCCAAGGCAAAATGTCTTTTACCACAGTTTAGTAGAATAGGTTATATATATAATTAAAGCAGGCATAGGTCTAGCTTACTAAAAATATTATAAATATTTTATAGTGGTTTTATTCATTAATATATTTTGGTTTTTTGTTAAATGAGAAGTTGTTTTTCACCCAAGGTAAAAAAAAAATATTTCCCTAAAATCCATAAAAATGTAGGGAAATATTTCCAATATTTCCATTTAAAAATATAAAGACAAAGAGTGTTTAAACCCAAAGATTCAGAACTGTAGACCAAGTCTTATGTTCAGAGAGTGAGGTAATTGTATCTAGTTGTTTTGATTAAAGACTTATTAAGTACTCTTGTTAGTAATGGAATCCCATCTATACAGATATATTTTGATTGAAATGCTTCTTCTGTATACATACACCCACCATCATAGTCCTTTTCCAGTGTTTTCTCTATTAAAGAAAACATTTAGTTTTAAATTGCTTCTGGATTAAGTTTAGCATATTTTAAAGGAATGCTTTCAGCTCCACATTTGCCTGAAAACTACCATGACTACTTTTCTATTTTTACTAAGAACATAAAATGATTGCAGAAACAGTATTTGTTGGGTTGGTTCATAAATTTTTTTTGAACATGACCTTTGCTTAGTGATTTTGTTAAACTATCCAAAAATGTACACTCTATAGTGCATACTCCATTGCTTTCTGGATACATTGCTTGCATTAATGTCCCATTGCCCTTAAGTATTGCCATCACTATTATGCAGGATGGTTTTGAAAAATTCAGTTTTGTCAAAACATTTAACACAATTTCTCCTGGGAGCTCCACTTCTGAACCATGTTAACATTGTGAGAAATCTTACCTCAAGGAAGATGGGTAGGTTTGAGTGTATGGTTCTTGTATTTATTGGCATTCCCAAGACAGAAAGGCAAAAGTCAAATATAGCAAAAACAGTTAACCAACTTAAAAATTAATTTCAAAGGGATTAAAATTTAGGACATTCTACTTAAAACATGTTCTTAAAGCTGATGAAAAGTCCAGATCCCTTTGGAGTTAGGTACTTAAAAAGATCCCCTAAAATTAAGTGTATATTAATTTAGTTTATTAAAATATTGTGCATGAAATGAATCTACAATAGGATGTATTTGGTTCCCCTCTCTATCTAATTTTTTATTTACCACAGGTCTTTTGGGAACTATATGATACCACAAGTGTGAATTGCCATGACCCAAGGAATTATTTCAGGGTTATTTTGTTGTGCAGAGCCACAGATTGTTGTAGTGGTGCTACTGATGGAATGGCCTTTGTAAGTGGGATGAAAGCAAGGAGAAGAAAGTGAAAGAATTTCTAAGGGTAATATCACTGCTGAGTTCCCATTGTGAACATCAGTTTTGGAATAATGAGCTGCTGGGTCCACCCAATTAAAAAAAGGGGGTAGAGGGGCTGGTTCAACAATTCAGTGAATTGAACAATTCAGTGAATTTAGTGACCTCCTAAAATGTCACAGGTTCAGGGATCTGTACCCCAGAAAGTCATGCTGGTGCTACATTATGGGGGTTAGGGGAGATGGGAAGAAGATGCTGGGCCTCCAGGTGTCACAGATGCTGTGCTTTCACAGCAACCTCTTTGGAAATTTTCAAAGCTGTAAGAAGAGGAGCCCCGAACCACTCAACTGTGATTTCAAAATAATGTCTGCTTGGAGAGGCAGACCAACATAAATTTTAATGCTGCTGAAACCTCTGCCTTCCTCTGTGTAGGTGGTAAATCATCTCCATAGCCATAATTCTTTTTGCACCTGGGGAAAACTCAGTTTCATGCTTCAGGTGGACTGGGACTAAGTTTTTGAGTCCCAGTCTTAAAAGAGTTCAGAAAAAAAAGACAATTGCCAGCTTTTCCTTTTCCCTATGAAATCCCTGCTAATGCTTACATGGGCCAATTTGCAGAAAAGGCACAATAGAAGGTGTTTGGTCCTTTCTTGGATGTGTTTAAATAACAGGCAATGGCAGTGCCCATGCACCATTTTACCTTTCCACTGTTCTTTTATAGTTTCCAAGGGAAAGCACTCATCATCTCCTGTTCCAAACCAATTTTATCTTTGCAGCTACGAATATGTATAGGTATGTGACTGTATTTTGTGTCAGCTGCATCCTGCCTATTCACACAGCATGAGTGAATGGGATTTGGTTTTACTAACGTACTAAGATATTATGACTCAGGAAGAAATAAATTTCTGGGCTAGTATTCATGTTTGTGAGGACTTAGGTCAAAGAAATGTTCTAATTTTCTTATTCTGAATCTATAAACCTATAAGCTTTTGACTTACATACATAGTACATGGCATTTCTGAAAAACAGGAGTATTTGAGACTATATCCATCTCATTGCACACATTACATAATACCTAATTTTAACTTAAGTATACTTTTCTCCTTACTTTTGGAAGTCCATGCAAATCTTAATGATATATTTAAACATTTAGATGAAGGCCCAGGCTACAACCTTAATTATTCATGTAATTTATTTAATTATGTTCATATATGAGCTGTTCTGTACATCCTTAAATTCCCAACCCTCAGAATAAATCAAACAGCTGACTTCTATCAGCAGCTGTCTCTTGTTTCACTTCAAAGGAACAAGTAATTTAGAGGGTGAGGAAAAGGCCAAAATTTATTCTTCTCAGTATAAAACTCCCATTTCTATCAATATTAAAGAAAAATTTAATGAAATGCCACCTTGTTACGTATTCTGTCTGCTACCAATATTTTCGTAAAATGCTCATAAATCTGTTTATAGAGCATTCTGCTATCAGCCACAAGTATATGTCCTGTGAGCCACTGAAATAATTTAGGAAATATCCTGAACCACAAGTTTACAGAGGACATAGAACACAGCTATCAGACTGTAGTGGAAAAAATTGAAACTATTTTGAATATTTACCATCAAGAAGTCTATTGAATCTGTTTTATGGGAGGAAATAGGAGCTTTCTCAATATTCTTCTTACTCAGAGTCTCACATATCTGTGATACATTGGGTGGCATTCCTGTTATGAAACTCCCTCACACAAGCTATATTGCAGCAGTAAATTCTAGATCTAGCCCACAACGCTGGAAAACATTCCTGAACAGATGGTTTCATTCAATAAAACATCAAAGTACCATAGTAAATAATGCTGTGGATTTTTTTTTGCCAGTCATTTTGCAGTGCCACATTAAACATTTCCAGAAGCAGCTGAAAGTGAAAGAGACAGAAACATTTGGCAGTGAGCAGAGTGCCATAGGGCTGTTTGACTGGTGATGCTGAGACCAGAGAAAGAAATGAGTATGTGAGTGGCACTTCTTGGGATGGTTTTTGACTTGTAAAGAGCAGAGAGTGCAGGGCAGTTAGAGGTCATCTGCTCTTTCCCTTCCTATTCCCCACTGCAAAGAATTTTGGTGTCTCATGCTCTTTCCCCTGTTGACTTCTTTCTCTCTGAGTTTGAAGAAGAGAAACTTGATGTGATGTTTGCTCACCTCACCTGAGCATCTCCTCTATTTTGAGTCAGCACGTTCTACTGCCTGCAGGCATTAGCAGAACACAGTCTCCTCCAAAATCAGTCAAATTCTTGAAGATCTGAATCAAATTTCACCAAAATGGAGTGAGATTGTAGAATTAGCTGGCCTTGCCCACATGTCTTAGGCTTCATCTACTAAAAGTAGACTAGCTATCAGTCTTTGAGAATAGATTGTATCTAAAGAAAAAGGCAGCAAATAGAAGAGAATTATCTAGTCAGTCAGGCAAGCAATTCACAGGCTTCAGTGTCCGGCCAGTTAAATCAAAGGGCATGAAGCAATACATGGTATTAAGACTCAGGGGAAAAAAAAACATCAGTGCTTGGTTTGTAGTATACTGCTATTGAAAGAGAAGTATGTGGGCCTTTTACCTCTGAAAGTGCATTTTAGGAAGGACCACAGTTTTCAGATAATTCTAAGAATTAAGGATGAGGATGCAACTCTATAAGAAAATATCTGTTTCTCTTTATATTCTTGTAATGGGCACAGTACTGCAAAGATTAAACATGCAAGCAATTTAGAAGTTGTAGGACTTCAAACGTAAAACCAAAATCAGCTGATTCAAAACATAGTAGCACTGCCTTAGAATTTTCTGAAGAAGATTTGAAATCTAAAGCTCCTTCCCATTAATATACAAGTTGAAGGCAGTGTTCTTTTCTTCCCTGTCTTCTTTGTTTCAAGGAACAGGAAAAAAAAATCAGTTGCCAACTTCAACTAGCCTTGCTATGGCAGTATTCACAGCTCTATCTTCTGCTCTATCCATCTGATATTTTTTTCACTGTCATCTCCAAAAAACACGATTCAGCAGCAGCCAGAGCCACAGCAGTCCCATCTCTGCCTGGTTCCCAGTAGTTCCTGCACTGAATGTGAATTCTCATTATGCAACATGCTCAGGCAGGGGCCAAACAACTGCTTTTTACAGAACAGCCTGTGTGTGAGTCAACAACGGAGGCAAACCCAGGTGAAATGCAGAGACAGCTTGTGTCACTCTGCTGCATGTCCAGGTCCCCAAGGACGTGCACACCGAGAGGCCTGGAAGCTGTGGCTCCTCAGCCATGCAGTTTGCCTGGTCTCCCTCTCATCAGAATTCCAGTGGGATCAAGATACAGAACTGTGATAAGAAGAGAGCAGGCAAATGAAAGAGAAGCATAAAATGATGCAAACAATTTTTTAAGCATTCTGGCTGTATCTCCCCAGAAAAAAAAAAAAAAAAAAAAGAAGAGAGAGAATCAGGTATAAACAGGACTTTTTTCTTCTTTATTCATGACACATTTTAATGAGATTTGAAATGAGCACAGGAAGACAGAGCAAGATAACAAGGTTATCTTCAACTCTGAATCTTCACACTATTTATGATGCTAAATTTGCAGGCTATGCTGCTCACTTACATTTCCATAAAGTAGCATAATAAAAGAAAAAGAACAACTAGATGGTTGCAATTTTTCTTCTGAACTGTCCTTTCTGAAAAAATATATACAGTCCTCTGGGTTCTGATATTCTTTTTACCTCTGCAGAATAATGCCCCTTTTGTATTTCAACCCTTCTTTGTGCAGAGATAAAGGGAATGTATGTACATTCAGGCTGCTACTCCCCTAAGTGATATGACTCATTCACACAAGCATCTGTACCCCTTAAGGGACTGACAGTGCCTTTTCCTCTTAACTCATTAATTTTACTTTTCTGTTATACTGAAGAACTGCTAATAAAGTAACTTTTCTCAATTGATATTCAATCTCTTCTCTGCCCCTGCAGGCACCTCTTCTTCTTCAGGACTGAAAGCACAATGTGTTGAACTCTCCCCACAGATGCCATGATGGAGGCATATATATTCTAACATTCACTCTGTCTTCTTGAAATATCTGTTTTGCAGATTGAAAATTGGGACTATTGGCAGGCAGCAGGGTCTGCAACAGTAAGAAGTTTTAAATGCTTTCTACTACCATCCAACTTACACCTATGTCTGCTACAGTACAGACACAAGATGGCTAGTTGTTTTCTAAAGCAGTTTTCCCTTAAAGCTCTCAGCTGTAGTTATTACATAAAATCTCATGTAAATTCATTTGAATTTAGATACCTTTCCTCTGTGTTGCCAAGTTAATCATAGGAGCAGATGTTAAGCTATGGGAAACTGGAAAAATACATTTCACCAGTTCCATGATACCATTAATATATTAGAAATAAATGAATAAATAAATAAAGGCACACAAAGGAGAGCATGACCTTTTTAATTACATTTTTGGTTTTTGCCACTCTCAAAATGTTGTTAACAATTAAGTTTTCTGGGCTTTTAATGTGAGGTTGAAGTTAACAACAGGAGAGTATGGAGTCCATCATGTTTGACCCAGTTTACACTGGTATGAGTTGATATCCTAAGTCTTTCCCATGTTTATTACAAATGTCAGCATTTTTACTGGTGAGGAACAAGACAGCTAACATGAATATCAGTTGATTTAACAGTGAAGGCTGCTTGCAATCAGTAATGGAATTCCAGAAGTTCCCTTGGCCCACTCAGAACAGGTGTAAAGGTAGATAATATTATATTACTGAAAACATGACTCAGGTAATTGTAAGATTAATTGGAAACCGAGTTCTCTCATCTCTGCTGAATGGAAAACATCCATTTTCCTTACTAGTCTTTGATCAGTACACCTGTCTTTGCAGAGACTAATAAGACAACATAAAAGCAAGTAAAAGTTCATATTTTAAGCAGTTTCTGTAGTGTTTCTGACACTTGTGAAACAAAGAGAGTACTAAATATTGATAATCATGTCATTTCAAAGAGAAATAGCTTTTTTTTCCTCATGTATTACTCACTTTAATCCCGAGAGTAGTGCAGTGCGCAGTGATTCTTTTCTATGGAAAGTCATTTAAAGGTTTAAATAACTGAAGGTTCAGGAACTGCACATATACTAGCATCAATCATCATAGCATCACTTTAAAATACCACTTTCTTTGAAACCAGTGCTTGTATTAAAAATAAGGCGATAAGCTACTTACTGAATATAATGGTTTTTAAAAATATGTAAACTGTGCTGATGGGATGTATCTGATTAGTGGAAACTAGGTGAATGTAAAGTCCTGGGACTGTACAGTGGCTGTACATGTCAGTGCAATGTAAGGTCTGACAGCCTTTTAAATCTCAAGAGGTAAAACAAGAGCAAGGATTAGGAGGATTTGTTCAACACAGTAGGAGTATGTTTTAGTGAACTCATACTGAATCATTTTTCTTCCATTGTGTAGAAAATGTATAAAGAAATATTCTAAGCATCCTACATGTCTGTTCAAAATGGACCAAGAAAAAGACCCAATATGTTCTAAATGTATCACAGCTGGAGCCTCTGAGTCTGAAGGGAAATGCCAGTTCTGCCAACAGAGTGTACCAGCCTAGCCCACATTTTGAGGTCTATGCTTCTCTTATGTGGCCCTACCAAGAACATATTTTTAGGTAATCATATGGCCAAACTGAGGGTCTGCAGATGAGTTGTCAAGAGTGAATGCTTTGATCCAGCTATTTGCATTCCCTTTCAAGGCACAGACAGTATTCCCTCTTTCTTAGCATGACAAATACAATCATTGTGTCCACATGGTATGACAAAATGAAGCCCGCTAACATGCAATGTCCATGTCCATCCAAGACATGTTTGGTATCTTTTTCTCAGCTTAAGCAGTAAGGCCAGCCAGCCAGGGCTGCACCACTGAACAGGTAACTCAGTGACCAGTGTTTATTGTTTGTGGTCAGTTTAGAGGAGAAAAAGAGCTTCTCCAACATCAGATACATTTTGTAACTATTCTGATATATATATATATATAGACAAAGAAGGCCACATACGTGTAGTTAATGATAGTCTTATAAGTTAAGAAGTACTGTTACCTTCTGGAGGCTGTCTCAATACTCACAACCTTATCAAAAAGCACTTAGATATCATCTAATAGGTCGTTCAGATGGTGAATGAGGCATCTTTGTGTGGTAATTGGTATTTTTTTATTAGTATCCAGGGAAAACAGACATAATGAAGAGAGTAGCATGATCCCTAGAAGAAAACACAAATGGTATTTCTCAAGTGAAACTATATTAAAGCAGGGCAGCTTGTAACAACAAAACAATGGCAATGAAACATAAGTAAAAAATAAAATTCACAACATGTATCTGGCACAAAATAATTTGGTCCCAGAGGTTCTTTTTCTTTGGGACCCAGAATAGAAAACATCACTTAAATTCATGATCAATAATCATCAGCTATCACGCACTGAAACTCATGCTAAGAAACTAGACAAGGGGCTAAAATCCACAGTTTAGGTATTCATTTTCCTATCCAGGCTGAAATGATCAACAATTACTGCACATTAATAAACAAAGAGCTATTAGAAGGGCAGCACAAACAAATTATCTGACAGAGTTTGTTGCCTCATTCCCTCTCACATTTTTTAACCATCTTTATAAAGAGTGCTGGAAAACACTGTTCATTAGCTTGTATTGTCTTATGTGTCAAACAGATTTAGATTCTTTTATTCTGCTTATAATCATTTGGCCTCCCCATAATTTCTTTAACAGTGTTACTTTAGGAATTAATTTAGTTTTGTGGTTTTTTACTAACTATGACCAATCAATAACACTTCACTTAACACATTATGTGAACATTGCATTTTGGTACCCCCCTGTTTACAGTACAGCTTCAACTACTTGCCTTTCATTATTAATACAGCAAAGTCTAGTAGCTTATATGCCTCTTTCTTATAAACTGTGTTTGGAAAGAAGACATTAGTTAAGAAGAAGCTTTCAAACTTATAGAGGTAAATATCCTTTGGTGTTTTGAACCTTACTCTGTTATGTCAGATATTTATTGCCTCTGTTATGGCACAACTGAAGTGAAGAATGAGCTGGGTAAGAGTCTTTAGCATTTGAGGCATGGTAGTGCATACATGCTCCATCCCATACTAGAGCTCCATTCTGTTAGGGGCCATAGAAAACACCTGTGGTGCTCACCCTCTTATGAAGGGTTTAAGACAGCCAGCTGAAAAAAGAGGGAAGCATTACTACACTTTTGGGGAAAAGAAGCATTGGAAGATGAAAGCTAAAAATCATAATTGGCCTCAAATCCTATTTGTCCTGAGGAAAGAGGCAGAGATTCTTCCCTTATCACTAGCTGAGCTGGCTCCCAACTCTAAGTGTTAGGTCAGGTCAGGTGAATTCCACCGCCATTCACTGATGTGGCTCTTTTGATTTTGGGATCTCAGCAGGGGACACTCATCCCACTCTTGCTGAGCTTACAGCTGGGTGATTTGGGCTGGCCAGGGTCCAGCCAGGTATTTGCAGAGGCTGAGAAGCATGAGTGGGCTCAAGAGACAGACAAGTCAGGCAGCCACATATTGGCTTACACAGATTGCTGGCTGATGTAAAGATACTTCAGTGGGCTCTTCATTGAGGCACAACATAACAATCCCCAGTAAGATATCAATTGGTAAATTCTATTTCTATTTCTAACCTCCACAAAGATGTGCACCTTTTCTCTATGTAGTGCTTATGCTCTGTACCTCAGAACCACAAGTCTTAACAAAACCACCATCACATAGCTCACAAGAGAGAGAAGGGAGACTGACTTGACAGACACAAACTATTGAACCTTCAATTTTGTAAATGTAGACCAGAAATTATATCAGCCCAGATATGCTGGAGCTACTAATGCAAGCTAAAGTTATGGCCAGTTTTTCCTTTCTTCTATCAGAAAGAATGATGAGTTTTGAGCAAAAGCACAGGAGGAAGGGAAAAGGAAGAGTGTGTGTGCATGAGAGAAACAGACTTCCAAACTCTCAAGCTCTCTAGTGCCTTTATAGAGCACTACAGCTATCAGCAATTTACCCTTGGAAAAGGAGCTGTCAAGTAAATGCCTTCCTATTCACATCATGTGGATGGTAAAGATCCTGAGCTGATCTATGCCTCATGATTGAGCAGACAGGTCTCTTCCCTGCAATCAGTGCTGATGAAAAACTGATTTTTGTGGTAGTGACAATCTGATGGTACTAAAGTAAAATCTCCTAGATCCTCTGGTAATGAAAAATTATCTAAGTGAAAGGAGAAAAGGCTACAAAAAGAATTACAGACTTCTATTTACCTTCAAAATTGTAGAAACATTTTTGCCCAGTAATTAAATAGTCCTTTTTATTTTTGCTTTCTTTAAGCATACTTTGAAGGACTATGATGTGGTCACCACACCAGACCAGATTGCATCAGGTGCTTCTGAAGACAAAAAGCCTTACCAAGGTTGAAGTGTCAGTCACCTTATTGAATCAAATGCCATCAGAATATTGACATATTCTACAACTTTTGACCTTTTTAGATTTTAATTTTGGGATGTCCAGGGACAATGTCCATGTCTTCTGGGTAGCAAATATTCAGTTACATGTATGCTACTGAGTGGTGATATCTGTACAAAAATGTAAGAGATATTTCTTCTTCCTTGTTTTCTTTGGTCAGAACACCAATTTATGATGTTGCATTGTGCTTGGCTAAGTGGGGATAAGGTGCAAGCCTGGCCCTACTACAAGTTATAGAGTGGGATAGTTGTTCCCTTATGTAGCAGTTTCTTAACTTCACTGCATCAACCTGTGAACAAAACATCAGCTGGTTGCATATAATTATCACCTCCCTTCAATTTGTAACCCTCTCCTCTAGTTTTCCATGTTAAAACATGGAATAAATCTTTTATTCTGAGGTTCATTTCAATGTGGAAGGCTTAGCTGAATTTACATCCCATCTCATCACATTTAAATTTCTAGTTAATGATGGTTAGCAAGTAAAAGAGATAGATGTTTCTCCTAAAAAAAATTAAAGGACCAGGATTCTTGAAAAGCATCATGAACTTCACAGGAGAAAAATTCAAATAATGATAAAAAAATCCCATCTCCTTCTAATCCTTGAGTTTTTTAAAGATGAAATCAGTAAAGCTTTCCTCCTACTTAGAGTATCAGTGCTGGAGGAGAGGACATGTGCCCTGCTTTCACTTTCCAGAGACTTGTACTCAAAGACAGCTCCTTTGATATCATTATATATTGAAAATGTGGAAGCAAGCTGCTTGCAATGTGTCAAAAAAAAAAAAAACTGGGGGCAAATTTTTAAGAACATGGAGGTTTTTTTCACCTTCTGTGGGGATCAGGCAGATCCTGTGTGCAGAGGTAGAGAGAGTAGAAATCACATTGCCCTCCCATGGGCAGCACACTTTAGGGTTACAAACATAAAACCTGCTGAGAGTAAAAATTATGTTGGAATTTTAGCAAGTACTTTGGCTCAGGATCCTAAGAGTGGATAGTGGAAATCACAACCAATTTGTTCTTCAGGAAATAGCTAGTCTGATTCATGGGATGAAGCCACCAGCAGACGGTGCATGAACTCATGCAAGAATACATAAAGACGCTGAAAATCTATGAAATAAGGACGTTTCAGCAATTGTGGGGAAATTGCTCCTGAGCTAAAGGAGCCTTACAAATTTGTCACAGAAAAAAAGAAATTGCTGAGAGATACACTAAGAATCTAAATTTACTGAATAAAGGCACCCAGAGGCACCTATCTGGCAATATCTGATCCAATTCTGAAGGAAGGGAAGCCCCCTTAGCTCACATGGCTATGCTATTTCACTTTGTATTAAATATAGCTGGCACATGGCAGGGTGGATTGTGATTCAGAGTAAGAGCCTTTAGTTTTGAATAAGGATTCTGACCACTGAAAAAATAATTTAAATCCATAATCCCGCTCTCTTCACAAACCTCATGCCTTTGAAACTTGAAAAATCTTTGTCCTTGTGGCTTAAAAATACAGGCCACAAACAGAAATCACATGGAAATAATGCAGGCAATAGAATAAATAAATTTTAAGAAGGAAAGAAATATATCCAGCTGGTATAAAACCCACAAATGAACACAATTAAATAGTCAAAACTGAGGAAGTAAAGCACCTTTGACTACCTCTGTAATTCCATGTGCCACATCACCTTTCATTTTATTATAAAAACAGCATATAAATACACAGAGGTCTTTTACGTCATTGGTGTAAGTCACCGTTATACTTCTTATATATAATTTTCTCCAGAAGGCAGGAAATATTAGTGTATTATCTCAATAGTTATTCCACATTAAATCCCATAATGAGGAATTCCAAATTTGAAACCTGTATTACTTTGAAGAGTCTTTTGTACATGCCTCACTGGGGAAAAATGCATATATTTATTGCTTCAAAATAAAGGTATTTGTCAGAAGAGTATATAAAAACTGAAATGTTGGAAGCTTGCTGTAGGGGTTGCAGCACTGCTGCTCCATTGCAGTGCTGGCAAAACATGGGCTGCAGCCTGGCCAAGCTGCACCACAAAAAGCAAACATTTCTTTTCAGATGTTTAGAAGCCAGGCTCTTTTTCAAGCTCCTCTTCCTTTCTGAACATCAATTCACTGCCTTGTTTCTAAGCCGGCATCCACCAGCCTATACATTCAGAGAAACAGTGGCAGATGGTTTGGAGACCAATCTGCAATTTGCCATAAGAAAGTTGAGCTGATTTAATAACGAGCACGATGAAATGTAAGTACAACCCACACTGAGTGGATTAAGGAATGGCCAACTGACAGCCCTCAAAAGCATCTGCCAGTGAGGCAACTGTCAAGAACAAGGAAATTTTTTTTTTTCTCATAGCAATACCCAGGCTCTTCAATCCAACCCTTACAAAAAAAAATAAAAATCACTCCTTGCACTTTTTGTGAATATTTCAAAACTCAAACCTGCTCCTGAGAAGGTCTAAGGCATTATTTAAATGTGAAACCTAAATTATGATACAAACCCCTTTTCTTGCTAAGATTTAAGAAAATCTCACCCTAGAGCTTTCCAAGCCACATTTTAACTTCAAAGTTTCCAAGATATGAGAGATCTACCCTTCTTCAGAATGGATCCTTTTTACCCACTCTGATATCTATTTTCTACTTCAACTGCTCAAGCTCTAGAAGTCAGCACAGCTAAGACACATCACAGCAGCTAAAAAAGGACACTCACAAAATG